TTTTTAAATGAGACTGAGTCTCACTCTGTTGCCCAGGCTTGAATGCAGTGGTGCAATCTCAGCTCACTGCAATGTCTGCCTCTCAGGTTCAGGCAATTCTCAAGTGAATCTCCTGACTCAGCCTCCCAAGTAGCTGAGATTACAGGCATTTGCCACTATGCCCCGCTAATTTTTGTAATTTTAAGTAGAGACAGGGTTTCGCCATGTTGGTCAAGCTAGTCTTGAACTCCTGACTAGCTCAGGTGATCCGCCTGCCTCAGCCTCCCAAAGTGCCAGGATTACAGGCATGAGCCACTGCACCTGGCCTCAAATTAGGTAAAATCCTAATCTCAGCAACAAATAACTGAAGACCAGAAGAAGGTAACATGTGTTGTGAACCAAATGGCTGAAAGATGGCCAACTATGACCCATTGTCCCTCAGTATTACTAAAATATGGCCAGGCATGATGGCTCATGCCTGTAATCCCAGCACTCTGGGAGGCTGAGGCAAGAGGATCACAAGGTCAGGAGTTCAAGACCAGCCTGACCAACATGGTGAAACCCCGTCTCTACTAAAAATACAAAAATTAGCCGGATGTGGTGGTGCGCACCTGTAATCCTAGCTACTTGAGAGGCTGAGTCAGGAGAATTGCTTGAACCTGGGAGGTGGAGGTTACAGTGGGCTGAGACTGTGCCACTGCACTCCAGCCTGGGTGACTAGAGTGAGACTCTTTTAAAAAAAAAAAAAACAAACAAACAAAAAAAAAACCTGGCTGGGCGTGGTGGCTGACGCCTGTAATCCTAGCACTTTTGGGAGGCCGAGGCGGGTGGATCACCTGAGGTCAGGAGTTCGAGCCCAGCCTGGCCAACTTGGTGAAACCCCATCTCTATTAAAAAAAAAAACCCAAAACCTAAAATATTACTTACCTCATGATCAATATTCCTGCAGAGATCGATACAAAATTATTTCCTGACACTCCCTTATTCCAAGTGTGGCTTCACTTTATCCAAATGCTAACAGCAGATGTTGAGAGAAAAAAATTTAAAGCTTTGATCCAGGTCACTGTGCTATCGTTTCTATTTGTTATATCTAGAATACAGAAATAGGCAAAACAACAGCCCCCACCCAGAGATTTCTTTCCTAAGAAAGAGCAGGCCCCTATATATTCTGTAACTCATTTTTTTTTTTTTTTTTGACAGTCTCCCTCTATTGCCCAGGCTGGAGTGCAGTGGCATGATCTCAGCTCACTGCAACCTCCGCCTCATGGGTTCAAGCAATTCTTCTGCCTCAGCTTCCCAAGTAGCTGGGAGTACAGGTGCACAATACCACGCCTGGCTAAATTTTGTATTTTTAGTAGAGACGGGGTTTTACCATATTGGCCAGGCTGGTCTCAAACTCCTGACCTCATGATCCGCCCACCTTGGCCTCCTAAAGTGCTGGGGTGACAGGTGTCAGCCACTGCACCCAGTCAACTCATTCAACTTTTGAGGAGGTGGATGCTATGCTGTTAACATCCCCTTTCCTCTGCATTGTCAGTCAGGCTCGTGTACATCAATCTCATTAACACCTCCTGTACATCAATCTCATTAACACCTCCATCTTCTTCAGAGTAGAACGAATCCAGAGATGTTGAATGTAATAGATTTGCAGGGTTAAACCTCTTCTCCAATGAGGATTCAATGGATTCGAAATACTTTTACCCAAAGATTTTCAAGGATCAACATCTAAAGCTAGTTGATATTCTCTGCTTTACAGCCAACCAAAAAAAGGGGAATACACACACATGCAATTTCTAACCTATGGCTAGAGCAGGGTAAAATACTAAGGATAATTTGGAAGAGGAAGAATGCTGAGGAACAATGTGCCATCCTCATATGTGAGGGCATTTAACTTCCTCATCAAGGTACCAAAGTAGGAAAGCTTCAAGCGATTCTCCTGCCTCAGCCTGGTGAAAGGTTTTTCACCAGAAAAGCTTTGCCAATTCACACTGGGCAAGCCACTGCCCAATGACCCACTAAAAATGCTTCAGAATAGCCCCAAAGAAACAAGAAAGTAATTCAGCTTCCACCTCCATCACTTCCTTACCGTTTTTGTCCGACGTATACACTCTATGAAATCATCATGTTCTATCTTGCACTCTTTCGCTGCCCGGGTCATACCGATTCCATGTGCACATTCTATCCATTCTTTTTCAAAAGCATGGCATCGAGCAGGAAACTTGTAGGGCTGTTCGGCACTTTGGATTGTCCACCACCGATCTAGGTTAATGCCGAACCTTTTCTGCACGTCCAAGAAAGGCATGGCTGTAACTGAAAAATTTTAAAAATAAGTAAATAAAAGGCCACAAAAGGGCAATCAACTGAGAAATTTCTTTCTTTCTTTCTTTCTTTTTTTTTTTTTTTTTGAGACGGAGTTTAGCTCTTATTGCTCAGGCTGCAGTGCAATGGCACAATCTCAGCTCACCAGTAGCTGAGATTACAGGGATGCACCACCATACCCAGCTAATTTTGTATTTTTAGTAGAGATGGGATTTCTCCATGTTGGTCAGGCTGGTCTCGAACTCCTGACCTCAAGTGATCCACCTGCCTCGGCCTCCCAAAGTGCTGGATTACAGGTGTGAGCCAGCATTCGCGGCCAACTGAGAAATCTCTAAGAAAAAATTAGATAACCATGGTAAGTAGCCCTCTAGAAAGCTTTCTGATACTATTCTCTGGATTTCTTCTCACCAAATTTTTTCATTAAATAGGTTCTTCCAGTTTATGGCAGATAGCAGTTTTTGTGCTCTTTCAAAACTCAAGGAAAAGAGAACTATAACTAAAGAACAATGCATAAAAATACTTTCTCAGCTGGGTGCGGTGGCTCACCCACCACGTGAGACAAAGTCCTGTTCTGTCACCCAGCTGGAGTACATGGCACGATCTTGGCTCACTGCAACCTCCACCTCCTGGGTTACAGCAATTCTTCTGGCCAGTCTCCCAAGTAGCTGTGACTACAGTTGTGCGCCATCACACCTGGCTAATTTTTGTATTTTTTGTAGAGATGGGGTTTCACAATGTTGGCCAGGCTGGTCTCGAACTCCTGACCTCAGATGATCTGCCTACCTTGGCCTCCCAAAGTGCTGGGATTACAGGTGTGAGCCACCGTGCCTGGTCTAAAAAAAATTTTAGACCTGTGGGCCGGGCACAGTGGCTCATGCCTGTAAACCCAGCACTTTTGGAGGCCGAGGAGAATGGATCACGAAGTCAAGAGTTCAAGACCAGCCTGGTCAACACTGTGAAACCCCGTCTCTATGAAAAAGACAAAAATTAGCAGGGGGTGGTGGCGCACGCTGGTAGTCACAGCTACTTAAGAGGCTGAGGCAGGAGAATTGCTCAAACCCAGGAGGTGGAGGTTGCAGTGAGCCAAGATTTTGCCATTGCACGCATGGGCAACAAAAGTGAAACTCCGTCTTAAAAAAAAAAAAAAAGAAACAAAGAAAGAAAGAAAAAATGGGTTAATTAGGCCAGGCAGGTGGCTCAGACCTATAATCCAGCACTTTGGGAGGCTGAGGCAGGTGGATCAGGAGGTCAGGAGTTTGAGACCAGCCTGACCAAAATGGTGAAACCCCATCTCTACTAAAAATACAAAAATTAGCTGGGCATGGTGGCAGGTATGTAGACCCAGCTACTTGGTATGCGGAGGCAAGAGAATCACTTGAATCGGGAGGCAGAGGCTGCA